TACTCTAACTTCTCAAACTGAGCCCGTCTATCCGCTGCAATAAAACACCTCAATCAATCTACAATCACTCCCTTCAAATATAATTAAAAAAGAAAACAATTGAAATATAATTAAAAAAGAAAACAATTGAATGGTGAACTGTGTACCAAAATTTCCAGGGTTGACACGAATTTTGTCAAAGCATTCAGCAACTCGCAACGCAACAGAAGGTGCAAAATGAATATCTGCCACCAGAGGTATATTGTAACTGCACACACAGATTGTATCAAGTCAAGCCTTATACAACATAGGGAGTAAACCATTAAATACCCACTGAAAATATAATAATCAAGCCTACTTTTTCTGCACGAGGGTATTTTTAATATCAAAACAAGCATCTGCTTCTTTCTTCCCTTGAACTGTTATCCGAACAAGATCTGCTCCCTTGTCTGCTATTCTCATTACCTGGCAACAAAAAAGTCGTTACAAATGAAGCTGCTCGTAGCTTTTCCAATATTTCAACTGATTTAGTTGTACTTAATTTGTATAGCTCAAAATACAAAAGAATTGCCTGTTCAAAAACATTGTGAAGTCATTTTTCCAAAAAGGCCAATTAATAATCTCAAAGAGGTCACACTAACACATCAGAAGCTCCTTTAAGAATGGTTTCCATCTATGTTCACCACTCATCTTCAGCGGTGAAACCAAATTTTTGTTCATGAGGACCTTTTTGCATGTGCCAGATAAACCTATGACTCAGTCCAGAAGAAATATACACAAAGTTTTGACAATGCCTTCACTACATTACGGTTTGAATAATGGCAGAGTAATTCCCAGTACCAATGAAGGAGATGTATGACACGCCACACATTCTGATTAAGACCCCGAGATATAATAGATATACAGAGTTTAATCAAACCTTAGTAGCTCCACTTATATATGCATGTGTATATATAATTGAAGTAAATGGAGAGTCAAAGAACCTGTTCAACTGTAGCAGCAACATCCTTTGTGTCAGTTGTTGTCATTGTTTGAATCCTTATGGGATGCTCACTACCAATAGCCACATTTCCAACCATCACTGTTCGTGTTTTCCTCCTGACAGTTTTGTGTATTGATTCACAATACTTTTGTCTAGGAACTACATTCAAAAAAATAATTTATTAGATAAATTGATAGAAACTCAAAAAGGTAGAAAGACATACATATTTAGGCTGATATCTACTCCTTTATCTTCTAAGACAAATGAAGGAACCTTTAATCCCACTTAACTGAGGTGAACAGATATACAAGTAGTAACCAAGCTGAGGCTTAGTTTGACTGATCCTAATACAATTACTTCGCTCAGTTGAGGCCACTTCCATTTCTGAGAAATGACAGTTACACCGGGGTTTTCTTTAGAGATATATCCAATGAAAACATTGGATAATCACCTAGTTAATTTTTCCTAACCACGTAAATGAATAATTGACCAGCAGGAAAATATTGTTCAGCTTTTCTGAGAAGCCAGAAAACAAGGCAAAAGAAAACATAGTATTGTCCTTTCCCTCTGATCCAATTTCTCAGCTACAAAAAATAGATTGAAGGACTAAAACATAACACAGGCATTAAAACTAAAAACTGAAAAACACTAATTCATTAGGGATTTTAACCACCTAACAAAGGGCTGCCTTCAGATGCAGGCTTGAGTTCTGCAATATCTGATCCGGGATTTGAGTTCCGTATCACTGAGATTCTTGTTCTTCCAGACTTAAACCTCTTCAAATCACAAACCCTCACAAAATCCATACTTTTAGCAAACCCAATACTCGAGTCCCTGCCTTTTAGACCCGTGAAGGAAGCTGGTACAGTTCCAGTAGCCATTTCCACAACTGCAAAGCTTTACCTTCACAATTCCAAAGCACAATTTGGTAGAAATTCAGTTAACTCATCATTTTATATATCAAAATGTAGAATTAACATGGCCCGCTTGGTTTCTGAGAAAATTGAACAAATAAAACTGAAACTGACTAGTAAGATAAGTACTTTGATAAACAAACATATTAAAAAGAAAAGAAAAAGAACTAAAGGGTTTTCCCATTCACTCTTTGATTTCAGGTGAGCAGTTGAAAAAACTTAAATTGAATTTTTTTTTTTTAAAAAAAGAACGATCTTTCTTACAGTTTTCGCAGCTTTCCCAGAAACCAAACAGTAAATTATCCCATCACCTAATAACATCACAACAACTGAATTTTCTACTGTTTTGGGAAAATTGTGCATAAAATTCATTACCTCAAAACAATCAATAAAACCCAAAACGCAGAAAGCAGAAGCAAGTCAAATGCTCTTGAAAGAAAACCCAGAAAGCGTTTCACAAAATCAATAACCAATAAGAGTGAGCTTAAAAAGAGGCTCAATTGGTAGACACGTGGCGTGCTGGTGCTTGTGCTTGTGCATGTGTTCATAGTTTTTTTGTTTACCTTCAGTGATGTGATGATGATGAGTCAGCTGCTGAGAGCCTGAGAGTGAAAGGAGAAGGGTCTAGAGCCCGGAAAGGGCAGAAAAAAAACTTATAAACTGGTGGTGGGTTGGGTGCGAGGACTGAGTTGTCAATGGATTTTTGGAAATTTGGTTGCATTAGCTGAATTTGTACTATTTTGTGGATGCTTGAGGTGGAGCAAATGGACAAAACCATTTCTTTTGGTATCTATTTTTTTGGTAAATGTTTTCTCTTGGTATCTAACCATGCGAAACATGCACTCTTTAAGAAGTGCGTGTATCTCGTTCTTGTAATTTTCGGCTCTCTTTCAAAAAACCCGAAGATAAACGTCAGCCATTCGTTTATTGCATACGGCATTTTCTAAGTTTTCAAGTCAGTGTGATACATTAGTAGTTGGTGTTTGTCTTTTCAATATTCAATATTGAGAGAAGTTTTAAATTTGATTTTCCCCTCTCACGTTGGTAAAAAAAAATTCATTGTTTGTACGACTAGCACAACATCATGTTGATGATGTGGTGTGATTTTGCAAGGCAAACAAATCAAAGAATCTACCGTTCTTTTTCTAAATTCTTTGATATATATAGAAATGTGTGATATAATAGGTATAGGCTTGCAAGGTAGACAAAATCAAATTACCAAATATAACTTTATTTGAACATTTGCCCTAGAGTGTAGGCTCTGTTTGGATGGAGAGATTTGAAAGAAATTATTTGAATTTGACAATAAGGTTAAATTTGGTATTTAAAAAAACAAGAGTCATATCAGATTAAATGTATTTGAAATAACTAGATGTAGTTAAGGACGGATTCATGAATTTAAAATGGAATAGGCTAGATTTACCTTACAAAGAAACTCAATGGCACAAGCGAATTTTATTGATAATAAAAAAAATGATATACCTAGTTAGGGAGGACATAATGAGCCATAATATACCCCTAAAAATGTATCTAATACAAAAGATAGAAGCTTGTTAAAAAAGAAAATAATAAATAAACATGCAATGTAAATACAGAATAAAACTATTTAAGTTGCACCATTCGAATCTTTAAAGAATTAAAATCATTAATGATTCATTCAGTATCGATATTATCAAGTTAATTTTTTATTAGTTTTTTAGTTGTGTGTAAATACTACATCACATTTTTTAAAAATTGAAAAAAATCTGTATGGGCTATAGCCGATATAGCCCCCAACATGGATTCGTCCCTCATGTAGTACATTTAAATGCATTTTAAATGACTACATGTAAGGAACTATTTATAATTCGTTTGGTTTCTTATTTTTGTTATTGTCCAAATCTTAGCATATATGAATTGTAATAGTCTTATACGAACAATTTTACCTTATAATGTCATCTAAAACCATTGATTTAGGTTGTTTTCTTATTTTTGTTATTATCCAAATCTTAGCGTACATGGATTGTAATAGTCTATACAAATAATTTTACCTTATAATATCATCTAAATCCATATATTTAGATGTTAGGGAGAGAACTTTAGATGCCACCCCTTTTGGGCGTGGTGACAACCATGCTCTCTCCACCTCCTCCCCTTCCCCTCCTCTTTGCTTCCCCCTCATGCATCGTCTCCCTATTTTTTCTTTGGCTCATTTATGGCGTAATTCTATAACATATCTTTTTAGATTTATCATTTTTCGGTGTATCCGCTCGATTTGCTAAAGAATAAAGTCGATTGGTGCGTATATGTTATCTTTTGGTGTTTGAGGACAGTGTGTTGGATTTATGACAACGGGGTTGAAATTTGGCTAGTTTAGTTTCTTTATTTTTGGAATAAATCTCAAAAACTCTCTTTGGGTTTTCGGTGTAGTTTTCACCTCTCATTTGTGAGAGTTTTTATTTGTATTGTTTTGGCTTGGTTTTTCCAAACTTTATCTCTTTTTTATTATTTTTTATTTTTATGAGTTTGCAATCTTAGTCGGGATGCCTATGCCAGAGTTTCTTTAGTCCTGTGTGATCGTTAGTGGAGGCGCACCATATTGTCTTAATGTTAATGTTAGATTTCTTTGTAATTGTAATGGCCTTTTTGTGGCTAGTTTGTATTGATCCTTTGTGACTAATCCCATAATTTCTCAATAACCAAAAAAAAAAAAAAAAATCCATAAATTTGGAATCCCTCGATCCAAATGCGACCTTGAGTTTGCACTCATTTTAATTGTGAACATATAACCCCATCCAAAGTTATAATTGAGTAATTTAATTTGTAACACCCACAACAAAAGCAAAGGAAAGATGATGATGAGGAGTTCTACGTTTTGATGCCAGGAGGAACAACCACGAATCTACTAAACGCCGTTTTGCGACATATTCTGTCGTGGGAAGACAACTTAACAACCTAAACCCAAAAAAATCAATGGCTACTTGCTTTCCGGCTTTCTAACTAAAATCTTTGCCCGACTGCTTCAGTTCAGTACACGAGCCACTTTTCTAAGTCTATATGAATATAAATAGAAACATCTATACATATGATCTTCATCATTTGAAGTAAATAGATAAATATAAAACTCCTATCAAATTAGTGGTTAATGATTTTCTATTCAACCAGTAACTTGATTAAAAATACTACTACAATCACTTCAATCCATATAAAAATTCCAAAGAAAAAGAATTCTAATATTATAAATTCACTCCTGATTTTATAAGTGTAAAATCGAATCATACGTACCAGCCGGTCAGGTCACAGTCTGGTTTTTAGAACCATGGTTTCACCCATTCCAGCCACCACTCATATTAATCATCAAATGATTTAGTTTAAATCATATATATCAGGGAAGTTGTATGCATGTGGTTTTAAGTAGCTGCTCCATCTTCCTCAAGAGAATGCATTTCAAGGATTGCAACAGTCTCTTCCTTTGCACTGCAAAGCCAAAACAGAGCACAGTTAATACCAGCAGACTAATGGACACAACAGGTAGAGACTACAACCTAGTTGTACTAAATAAATGATTTGCATGCCGAAAAAAAAATAAAGAACAGGATATAAAGGAGACGTATCTAAAGACGGACATTTTCCACACTGATCCGTCTAAACAATCCTTAACATATTTAGCATTTGCAGTTCAAAATTAGGAATAAATATAAATGAATATTGAACATTTTAAGAACATTGTTCCTTACATGCTATGTGCAGGGGTCAATATTTATCTAATACAGAAAGAAACATCTACAAACCTTATAGATATCCATTCCACCCACTTTGTTAATTCAACAAGAGAAAATACATAAAAAATAGGAATTATAGTCATCTCTATGTGAGTACTAGACAAACTTCAGCTAAAGTGCTTTATAATCAGACGCCACCCCCTCCTCAGGAAAATTCCTCTTTATAAGATGCTAACTATAATTTCCTTAACAACTTTTCCTAGATTTAAATAACAAAACTATAACACTAATGTCATACAATTTCATTTTCTCAGCCATTACTTTATAGGCAGGGTACTGTGTCAACTGGATGCTTACCTTCCAGGTCGAAGAATCTTGTACTTGCCTAGTCTGGTGAGGTCCACGACTGTTGAGCCTGCACGGCCTGAAGGAAGCACACCACCATTGTAAACATATGCACAATGTTCCCAGAGGTTCTCAAAATCTTTGATGGAAACACTACTTGGCTGCCCGCTTAGGTTTGCACTTGTAAGGGCCAATGCACTCCCCAGTCTGCGGGCAATGTCCCTGATGAAGTTACAGTCAGGCACTCGGACTCCTATACTATCCAATCCTGGGTTCAGAGACTTCTCAAGAATACTCGACTCCCCTGCAAAATACCCAAACTAGCTTTTCTTATTCAAAACTGAATGTGAAAGATATCAAGCTGAAAACCAAACCAATCCCATGGGTTTGCAGCATCAGTCAAATGGTAGTGCATATCAAAAAGATAAATTATACTTGAATACAACAATTTCCTTTCTTTCTTTATACCTCGGTTTAGTACAAGAGTAACAGGTCCTGGAAGGAGATTCTCAAGTAAGCCATGGGGCAAGTGTTCTGTGGCAGCAAACCGCTTAAGGTCTGGCACATCCCCCACACAAATTGCAAGAGGACTTGTATGTTTACGTCCTTTAATCTCATATATCCGATTCACTGCTTCCAAAGAACTGCAATTATTCTCCACCATTACAAGGTTACAAAATTACACACAAAAAAGAAGAAGATGGGTTTTCTTGTAAATCATCATAACAAGAATAAGAGCACTTCCTTTAAACAAACCAATATCTCAGAAACAATAATTCAGACACTGAGGAATTTTAACAAACAGGTACATTGCATTGGATAGATTGTCATACCAAGCATCGCAAGCGAAGCCGTAAAGTGTATCGGTGGGGACTGCAATGACTTTTCCGGCTCTGAGAGCTTCAACTGCCTCTTCAGTGTGAGCTCCGGTGGCCGGTCGAACTACCCCCAACTCAGTTTCAACTCCCGCATCGCACTTCTCTGCACTCCAAGCCATTTTCTCAGCAACGCAGCGTCTCAATCTCCGCTCTGCACTGTTGGCACTAAACCCAATTTGCGCACGCCTAAACAAAAAGAAGAAGAAGAAGAAAACAGTTAAGTTGAAATATGTTTGTTTTTTTCTTTATATTTGTAAGTTTAGAGAGAGAGAGAGAGAGAGAGAGAGAGAGAGAGAGAGAAACTGACTGACGGTGATGAGAGATTAAAGAGCAGAAGCTCTGGAGACTGAGAGAGGAGGAGGGAAGCAAAGGAGAGGCGAGTAGGGGAAGTGCGGCTGCAACTCTGGCTGGAATGTTCATCACTCGTCGTTTGTCATGTGTTAACTGGTCAACGATGAGGATCAGAAGCCCATTTGCATAACGGTTGGTTGATTGTTTTCTTCCTTAGAAGGGTAAGTTACACAAATTGTCCCTAAACTTTGTTGAAGGTTTTATCTAGGCATAATTACTTTTCATACAATAATATTATAGACACTAGTTACATAATTTCCTAATTTTTAGTTACCAATTAATATGATAATTTCTTGTTTATTATAAATAAATAGGTCTATAATAAGTTCATACAGAAAACAAATGAAATACTGTCACATCAGTTCGTATTTTAAAAGTTTGAGATGTGTGCCAATTAAAGACATGAATGCAACTTGTGCTAAGAATTCATGTAAAAGTAAGTTTCGTGCATTGCATGTGACCACTAAATCAAAGGCATTTTTGTAAATTTAAAAAATCAGCATGTTTTGTTAGGCTTAGATTATACTAGATTTTTTATACTATTTGTATTGTGCAAAAGCTTCTTTTGCACAACTTTGAGCATCTCTTATTTAGTTAAAATTTAGCTAAAAATACATAAAAGCTATTATAAGAGCTATTTATAAAATTTCAACTTCAATTATACTCCCTAGTTTAGGGAGTCATAAATGCTATAATTATTTTTTAAAAAGTTGGGAAAAGAGTTGGTGCCCATAGCATTACCAAATTAAAATGTTAAAATATGCGTAAAACAAATCAACATTAAATTATAGGGAGCAACTAGGAGTTCTTTCTCTCTCCTCAGATTTCGGAGCTCCTAGAGGTCTCCCTATTTAAGGAGGTGGATAGGGAGCATGGTTGAAGTTGTATTTTTCCGATTACTCCCTAAAATTTATTTAGGAGGTGGTTTATGGAACCCATTGCAGATACTCTTAGAGAATCGGATGCTGAGTTGAAGTAGTCTTGGTAATTGCTTCACTTTTCAAACAACACTTTACATGAAGAATACTACCACCTCTCTTACTACTATAACCATAAAACGTTGTTTGAAATTGTTGTTTTGGTTAGCAAAGATATTGCAAAATCACCATCTTGCATTTTTCTTAACAACAAGTAAGAAATAATCTTTGCCTCTCAAATCCTTTCGTAGTTAGGAAAATACGAACAAAAAAAATATGAATAAAATACGTATGTACTTTATTCGGCAAAATTTTGGCAAGTTACAACTGAACTGAAACGTTCGACCACTATATAATATTTAAATATATATTATTTTTATTCAATAATATGTGAAAATTACATGTATAATACATGAATTTTGTGTGTATTATTGAAAATTTGGTAAAAACTATGTGTATTAAACATGAAAAATATGTACATACGAGTACAATACACACGTTTGTTTTTTTTTTTTAAATGTGTATTTTGCCGAGTCTTTAAGACGTATATGAAAAACGGAAGTATTATTGAAAAATATGTATGTATGTGTATAATACAAATATTAAACGGTAAAATGCTAAATTCTTTATACGAGTAATAACTCTGGAAAAGTAAAAAAAATCAAAAGAGGATAATAGAGACTCGGATAATGGCCTAATAGTAATGGATAATGCTCTAAACTACTCTTATTGATAAACGAAAATTAGGATAAATAAATAAATAAAAAAGGATCCCACTATATTTAAAGAGTATAGCCGCACGGCTATACTATTAAATTTTTTTTTAAAAAAAGGACCACAGTATAGCCGTGTGGCTAGATATAAAAAGTACCGCCGTGCAGCTATACTATTTATTATTTAAAAAAAAGCCCCGCCTTGGAACTAAGCGCCTAGCGCTCATTATTTTTTTTTAAAAAAAGAGTATATCCGTGTGGCTATACTATTTATTAAAATAAATTTAAGAAAAAAAGACCCTAGTATAGCGTCTGTACTATTTATTAAAAACATTAATTTAAAGAAAGTACCCACGTAATAGCACCTAGGCGGCCGATTTTTTATTTAATTTTTTTTTAAAGAGTATAGCCTCGTGGCAGCTATACTATTTATTTAAAAAAAATAACAAAAATATCCAATAAGAACTAAAAGCATGAAAAGCACCATTGCTCTTCTTGATTAGCGCTTGACAATTGCTCTTGCAATATCGCTATCTGTTGGAGTTTTAGGACTCATTGTATACAATGATATCTTTACTCGAAATTGATGTGATTTCAAAAATCATTAGCCTAATAAATCTTTACTTTGCTCCTCTTAGATCCCAATATAAGTGTATTGCAAGTGCCATTCTGCTCGAGAAAGACATTTAATAGAGATAGGTTACACTGGAAGCAAAACATAAGCTTTCTAGTTTGAGAGTTTGCAAAGAAGAGTGCCCTAGCAATTTTGAAATTGTGTGGCCTACTTCCATTATTTTATACTTTATAGTTATTAATTTGCTAATTTCAACATATCCAAAGTAGACATTTAAGAGAGAGAAATTTCATAGTAGATCAATATGAGAGTTCAATTTTTTTTTTCATGGGAATGTTTGCCTTTAATCTACCTCGTTCTCTCGAATACTACTAAATTATGTTATTGCACACATTATTTGTTGTAGAATCGCAACTATACTTTTCAAATATATTATAATTAAAAAGTATAGCAGCGCGGCTATACTATTTATTTTATAATAAAAAAAGGACCCGCCCTTTGTTTTTTAAAAGAGTATCGCCTGCGGCTATACTATTAATTAAAAAAAATTAAAAAAATCACCGTAGTATAGCCCCGCGGCTATACTCTTTAAATATATTATTTATTAAGATAAATTTAAGAAAAAAACACCCTAGTATAGCCGCGTGGCTGTACTATTGATTAAAAAACATTAAATAAAAAATGACTCGCCTAATAGGTTCTAGGCGGCCCATTTTTTATTTTTTATTTAATTTTAAAAAAAATTAACAAAAATACCCAAGTAAGAAATAATATTTGAAAAATAAAAAAGTAAAAAATAAAAAATCAAAAGGGAACAATAGAGACTCAGGTAATGGCCTAAAAGTAATGGATAATGCTCTCAAAATATTCTTTTCGATAAAAGAAAATTAGGGAAAAAAATTATTAAAAAGAAAATGAATCCCAGTATATATTTAAAGAGTATCAGGCTATTTATCAGAACATATTTAAAAAAGGACCCTAGTATAGGCGATCGGCTATACTATTTATTAATAAAAAATAAAATAAAAAAGACTAGCGTAACATAACTTTTTTTTTGGCAGTTGCTAAAAAATACAACGTGGCACCAACCATCAAATTTAATCCAATCTATTGTAGGCCAGTGGGTATAACTAAGTTAATTGAGCTCTTCCACCTCCATCCATGTGGGCAGAGGTTCGAAACCCTCAAAACCCAATGAATATTTGTGTAAACCCCCTCCCCAAATTGCTTGTACCAAAAACAAAAGGTTCAATCTTCATGCTTGAGGTTGAGATGTGAGTCGAGATATTTTATCTCTATCTCAAAAGCACATACAAAGCCTGTGGGAGTTTTGGTTTGAAAATGTGACCGACAGCATTATAACAAAATACGTCTTTACTTGCTAATTGGTGCTACTGCTGATATTTTGGAGGCTATATACAATCTCAAGTCTTGTATTAAAAGTGGGAAGGATATCAAATTCCTGAATATATTACAGAAGTATCAAAATTCTCACCTCAGCTATAAGCATATTTATATGATATTAACCATTGATGCCATAACAATTTAAGCCCCACTAAAAGTTACTGGATTTTCTCCTTCGGTGCACGCGCTGGTCTTAAGGATTGGCATATCCTGTGTGAATTTACGGTACCGTACCGGTGAAGTGGCCCAGTCATGTCAACGTTTAAGAGCTAAGCGGTTGCTGTGAGGTAGTTTGCCATCTTCTTTTCCATCTCAAGCACTCGACGATAATGGAACTCCCACTCATTGCAACACCCAACCCGGCAAATGTTGCAAGCAGAATACAAAGAACTGCTTGGACACGGACCTGAGGCCACAACATAATGCAAGCATTTAAACATATTTGTATAAGATGACGGGTCTTAGAATGAACCTAAACAAGGCAAAGGAAAATATAACTTGTTGAGGAAAGCCTCTTACCAATGAATAAAATATATGTGCAAATAGAACCACCAGAGCAAACTGAACCGATGCATAAACCCAGACAAATCTTCTTTTCACTAAACACGGAAGATTTACAAGTTAGGAAGTGAATCAACAATTTATAAGTAGTGAAGTTGATCTTAAAAGAATATTATGATAATAATTACAGCCACTGGTGCACGAATATCTATTTTTCCACTAATTTCTTGAAACCTATCAACTCTTTACGTGTGCATTTGACCCCCAAACCCCAAGTTGTGGTTTTTTCACCACAAATGAGCACTATGATCATCACCACTCGTCATATTCCAGTTCAGTCAGTAAGTCCTCAAAATCTATCCTATCAAGATTACACAACTTGATGAAAAATTAAGGATAAATGCCAGCCTACCCATGGTTGTTGAGGTCATGGATGAGAGGAGACCCAGTACACAAGAAAATGGAAGAGATATGGCAATTGCTCCAGTACCCATCTTCTCAACCTGCAGTGAACATATATATCACCAAAGAGACAGAACAACAAAAAATGACAGATCTGCAGTTTCGATTTCTGATCTTACCAGGAGCTGCTCGAGAAAACAAAAGTAGGCAAGCATGCTGATAATGACAAGCACGGGTACTTCCTGCCAAACCCTGAAAAGATATGAGCTAACAATATTAGCTCATGAATGTTGTTCTCTATTGACCAAGTTGTATGCTTGGATAGGAAGCTATCTTGTTAAAGCCCACCAGCAGGGGTAAGGTCTTGTTTAAAGGCCAGTAAAAACATAAGTTGTGAGACAATCTTCACTAGACCCATAGCGAGATAACAGTTTTCATGACTGAACCATATCCGCCTATGGAATTACATATAGGTGGCATCAATCAGTCAAATGCAAATTCTGTGATTCCAAAATTTTCTTTTCGTCTCCTACAACTTATTTACAAAGCACCGAAAAAATGGAGTAGAGTGTTAATTATGATGCATTAAACAATAAAATGTTATATATGCACACACAAACTTGCCTGTATC